CATCTCTACTAAAAATACAAAAATTAGCTAGGTGTGGTGGCACACGCCTGTAATCCCAGCTACTTGGGAGGTTGAGGCAGGAGAATCACTTGAACCTGGGAGGCAGAGGTCACAGTGAACTGAGATTATGCCATTGTACTCCAGCCTGGGCAAGAGGAGCAAAACTCCGTTTCAAAACAACAAAACATAAAACAACCTCAACCCCTCATCTCGGGTAGACCACACCAGGAAAAGAGTAGCGTAGTGACATTGCCAGGTTGAGGGTTCAATCTAGTCCCAGTTCTCCACTTCCTGGCTGTGTGACCTTACACAAGTAGCCTCACCTCTCTGGGCCTCAATGCCCTTACACGATTAATAAGGCCCAGTTTGCAAGGTTCTTAGGAAGATCCTTTTGAGACCACGGAGTTAAAACATCCTCAGCACAGGACAAGGAGATGGAGCATTGGAGGGCTTGTGAGGAGTCTCTAAGGTACAGCCTCTGCCCTCTCCCGCACCCCCTACCCTCTCTGGCACCCCTGGCCCACAGTGAAGAAGCACTCAGGAGAGAATTTTCTATAGGCTTTTTATTGGTGGCACCTGGGGCCACATGGAGGGAGTCCTCAGCACAGGTGCTGAGGTGCGGGAAATTTCAGAGCCCCCTCCTGGGATGTCACCCTTCAGGTGCTCATGAGTTAATCTTGAGTTTCTCCTTCACTTTCCGAAATGTCTCTGAAAACCAATCCCTGTGGGGAGGGATAAGGAAGGGGTCACTGTGTGCAGCTCCCTCCCAGGCTGTCCAAATTCTACCTGCTACCTGACTCCCACCTCTTCCCCTTCCTGAATCTCCATCCCCACTGTCTGTGGGATTAGGAGGTCCGCTGGGCTGGGTGGGCCAACTTCTGTGCTTCAGTTTCACAGATGGACCAGAGCACGATGAAGTCTAAACACTTTACCCTTGACTGGGCATGGTGGCTCACGCCTGTAATCCCAGCACTTTGGAAGGCCGAGACAGGCAGATCACTTGAGGTCAGGAGTTCAGGACCAGCCTGGCCAACATGGTGAATCCCTGTCTCTACTAAATTACAAAAATTAGCCACGCATGGTGGTGCACGCCAGCTACTCAGGAGGCTAAGGCAGAATTGCTTGACCCTGGTAGGTGGAGATCGCAATGAGTCGAGATCACGCCACTGCATTCCAGCCTAGGCAACAGAGCGTGACGACTCCATCTCAGAAAAAAAAAACAAAAAAACCCCTGGCCTGGCTTTCAAGGCCTGCCATCTCTTGCTACCAACTCTTTCTTCCAATCTGCCCTTGCCTTAGCTGTTCTCATTCAAAGGTACTTTCCAGTCTCCCTGCCTATGACCAGGCTGTTCACATGCCTGGAATGCCACCCGCTCTTGATTATGATTATCGATCAACCTTCTTGGCTTAGGACCTTTGCCTCTCCCTCCAATCTTCCTTCCTTCCTCCCTCCCTCCC